AAAGCTGGGTAAAACTCCAAGCTAGGGTTTCTGACAAAGTCCAATAGTCCATTGCTCGGATAAATGACCAACAATCCATCAATTTAGGCTTTTATTGTTTCAATAATTCATAAATGTTTTCGAATGAATATGAATAGGAGATAAACAATATGAATATGTACGATATGAATAATATGACAATATGAATAATATGGCAAGATATATAACAATATAATCGAGATAATATTCACAATAATATAATCGAGATAAATATTAACAAGTATATGAACAAGATAATGTAATCGAGATATGATGACTGAAATAAAACAGTTTTATATTGACGGAAAGTAAAGTTAGTGGTTAGTCGATTTGTGAATTGAATCGGGACGAAATGTAACCCTAAACCTTCGTAGCTTGACTTATGACAAAAGTCGAACTATAGGAGGTCGCATAGATGAATATCCGTGCTAAAAACAAGATAGAGAAATGATATTGAGGATCATTCTCCGATTTAATCATGTCACACAAACTAAAAAGAGTGGGATATCGTCTTAATCATAAAATTGTGTCGATTAATCGAAGGTAGCCTAGCACGATCCAAAAGTAAAGAAAATGACCATTTGGGTCATTTTCCACAGATTTGATATAATGAAGGTTATCGACTTCGACAAATCGATGTTTACTAATGTAAAGACTTCATTGATCGATAAACTAAAAATAAAATCGGGATGAGAATGAAAATGAAAATAGAAAAAGAAAGTGGTCTCGGTTTCATCGTCACTTATCAATAATTTGACTAGTGGCGACTTTTATGTTTCTTCATTGACCATAATAAAAGAAAATTATGAAAAAAAAGCAAGATTTCTTATAAAACTTAATCCAAGACTAAAATAAGATTATTAAATAAAATACTTAATAAGAATTAAAAACAATATTATTAATTCACAAAGATTAAAACAAACTTAAATCCAAAGGGGTGTGCTGAATTCATGAGGGTGTGAATAACAGGTGAAAATCATTTGGGCTGAAGCAAAGCCCATTATCCACAAACATTCATGAAGAGCCTGGTGTAAAGACTGAAAGGGTGGTTATAATAACAAAACAACATGGGCCAATTGAGCCCAAGATCCACAACCGAATGAATTAAAAAACACGGTCAAATAAACCATTCTCAACAACAAAGAAAACCATTGAAAGCAGCTTAAAAAAATAGAACGACTTAGAGGGCGTCGTTACGGTCATGGAATCGAAATCCCAGAGGAAAACTCATCATCACGCTTCACAATCCAAATCAAGGGTGCAAGAACAAATCAATAACAAAAAGCTAGTGGCAACCGAATTCAACGTATCCAACCTTACGCTTTCTCCTCCGACTCGAATTCACTCCGTTTCAAACTCCGGTTTACTCTAAATTAAACCAGGTTTTCACTGTTTCACTATTCTGTTTCCTCTTCTTCTCCTTCATTTCATTTCTGTTTCCTGATTTGTGGGTCTATTTCAAATCTATCTCCTCCGGTTTTGGGCTTGTTTGAATGGTTGGGTTGAGGGATCTATTTGGGGTCTGGGTTGTGAATTGGAAGAGCCTTGAAGAGGAAATGAAGATTTAGAAGAGTTAAAGATCTAAGGAAAAAAATAATGGTTGGACATGCAAACGTGTTTTTGCAAAAAAAAATGAAGACGGGATAATGATGAGAGAGTATTTGAGGGAATGATGAATTCCCTACTGCTGTGCACTTCTCGCGAGTTTATTTGGGATTTTCCGTTGTTTTTGCAGGTCAAACCCGTATTTCATTTCGCTTGCCATCTTGGCTCTTATATGAGTTTGATATGCCGGTCTTGAAGTGGCCCTATGGCTCCATGAAGGCCTTCACACCATATTTCTTTTTGCAGTTTATTTTTTTTTGTAATATATTATGGGCTTTTTTTTTGTTTTTGAAATAGTTTTGGAATGATTTAGCTTGGGCCTGAAAAGGAATGTAATGGACTTTGGATGAAATGGTGATGGGCTTTTATGAACTTATTTTTGTGGAATGTGTTTATTATGGACTAATTTTGTAGTACTCTTTGAATGACAAATGTGCCTTGAATTTTTGGAAAATGTAATGTGAATTCATGTATGAACTTCAAATTAGGCTTAACAAGTGTTATGCGCACCCTCACATTCAAACCACGTATCTTTATTTTTCTTAACATCCGTGATGCACTTGTACTTAAATTTGAACAATGATATACGACTTTGAACACCACTTGAATCCAAATTTCATTCAACACGCCTTTTCTTGAATTGAATCTCATTCAAAACCAATTTTTCAACACTTTTGGATCTTCACTTGAAAACGAAATCACTCAAGTTTAGTCATCGACAAATGAAGGAAAACACATAAATCCACCTTGAATTTAAACCTTAAATTAACATGAATCTGCCACCGGATGAACTACAAATGTATTGAAATCGGAAGATAACGACTTGTTACATGGATGCCAATACATTGCATAAAACCCTAATTCAAATGAACCAGTTGTTGATAAAGCGCCCGCCCTATAACAACTTGATAACCTCATCCACACCTAACTGATTTGGATTGATGCACAAACCTTAATTGAAACTTTGAGCACGCACCGCTTGAACCATTACAAACCTGGTCTCGATCTTGAAACAACTCCTTGTTTGACTGACAGATTAAGTCAAAACCAATAAATGAACTTCAGTACATATTGCACTTATTCCTGACCTGATGCATCCCAAATGAAACTCGATTCAATTCACCCTCATGATAGAAGCAATATATTTTTGGATTTTCTGAATAACAGTTGTACATATACAAGGTATGACAAATTTGGGGTATGACAAGATGTTAGTTTTGCTGCTCTAACTTTAGCGTCATCCTTATTTCATTATGGACACACCATTATGAGACATCTATGGTACATTTTTTATGCATTCTATGATTTGATATATTGTATTTGTTGTTTATGGTTTTCTGTTGATGAATATTGTTGTTAATGTTTGTTTAAAAGATGAGTTTATTATATATTATGTGGTTTGAGTATTTTTTCAATCCTTTACCGAATATATAACTTTCCAAACTGCATTAGAAAATTATGATATGATAGATAAAGTTGTATTAGAGAACAAGTACACATTCAATTCTTTGAAGAAAATCTTTTACATTTCATTCCAATTCTATTAGTCATTTCCTATTTAAACTCTTCGATACTTTATATTTCACTTCAACAATTTCACAGTTAAACCAACTCAGGTCGTCATTCCTCTATCGAATAAATGTCTCCCTTCCTATTCCTCTGTCGTCTGCTCTTTCATCATAACTCACAACCACATTATCTTTTATTTGTTTGGTTAAAAGTGAAATATATGGATATTATGTTTGTATCTAATTATGTTTTGGTGAATAAGAAGAAAATTAACGTGATGAAATTTTATTGTTAAATTAAAAGCAAATTGTATGGACGTTATGTGATAATAACTTTGTGTCTTTAAAAAAAGTTAAAAAAAAAAAAATTTAAAATTAAATTTTATAAAAAAATATTATCCATAAATATTTGTAAATATCTACTGATACTTTATAACACGTGGATTATCCGCTTAACGGATACACGCATGGATATGAAGCACATATGGGTATCATATTTATCCAACGGGACGGATATAAATATCATAGTATCCGTCCCATGGATATCCATTTATATTCTTATGTGTATGTTCAAGGTTTAACAATATTTATTTATATTTTTTGATAATATACTAATATATTAATGTAGAGAAGTTATCGATTCATAAATGAATAAGAAAAAAATGTTTTAATACAATTTATTTTTAATATCTAAATTATAAATTACAAATTCATTTATTAAATTAATATTAAAAATCACAATATTTATTTTGGAATGTATTTTGAATATTCAAATTATAAGTACAAATATTTTTTTATTAATATCATAAAAACACCATAATATAATATAGAAAAAAAGGAAATTGTGAGATGATTTATAAAATTATTATTTATTAAGAATATCAAAAATAAAAATGTAAGGAATTGAGACAAGAGATAGAATAAATAATAAGAGATATGATGAAACAATAAATAACAAAAGATATGATAAAAATATAAATAATTGAAATTGTAACGTATATAACAAATTTTAATTTTATTCACAAAATGTTTTTTTAATTTGAAATAGAGGTAGTAACATATATTCCCTCCTATTTCTATTATAATTTTCTTTTTAAATTTATTGAATAATTCATATACTAAGACAATTATATAAATTATTTAATACATTGAAAAAACAAACTTTTTTAATAATAAAGGTTGGTGGAAATAATATTAATAATCATTAATATTACGGAATATCAATTATCTATTATATCTAAAATATACAAAATAATAAAATTAAAAATTAATATATTTTAAAATTACATAGTATTCAATTATGACATGTGTTAGTATAGGGTAATGTTATCTTGTATTCTAGGAGTACAACTTAAGAATGAAGAAATGTTAATCTTAAAATTTTTGCATTAATTTTAATAAAAACATAAAATTAATTTTTTTTTAAATTATTATTTCTATACAATTTTATAAAAAAAAATCTTAATATATGCCGGTATAAGTTAGCATCATCCTTGTTATAATTACAATCACAAGAGGAATGTTTTGCTTTTGCTAGTTAAATAATGAATGAACAAACTTAAAAGTAAACAATTCAAGCAAAGTACAAAGGGGGCGGATTTCATTTATGAAGCACCAAATGTGACAATGAAGAGAACAAGAATTCTATTCCGTGCATGAAAAAATTGGAATAGAAAAAAGCAAAATGAAAGATAATTAAATCCCCCAAACGAATCCAATCCAATCCATTTCAATTCAACTTTTTCTATGTATGTATTGTATTCATCTATCTTCAATTTTGTTTGTAATGGATAATAATCATAATCTGTCGCCACCTAATCAAAAAAGCTCTTCCACCAAGAACCAAACAATGAAAAAGAAAAAAACTAATCATCTAGTTTGCCAAGCCATTCTATACCCATTAGGCGTGAACGATCCAAACCATTCACGAGTCAACATTTTCAACCTTTCATCTTTAACTTCACAAAACCTCTCTGTCCAATCTTTAGGTTCAACAGCCTCAAAACCCAACCCAGGTGTCCTATCTTGAGAATTGAGATTCACATTCTGTCTCCAATCCACAACATAAGCTGAAACTCTCCTCCTAAACTTGTTCTTAAACTCATCCCACGCTTGGTACTTATAATGATTCACCAAACCTTCTTCCGGACCTAGTTGTTTCGACCTAAACCCCTCTCTCTGATTCACCTCAAAATGATGTATTACATTCCATAAACTCTTGTCAACCGCTTCCACCAACACAATCGATTTGTGTCTCTGTTCCACTTTTCTCCTACACGTATAACCTTGTGTTACACCCTCTTTAGGATGTTGTTGTTGACCTGATGGCCCATATTCTAAACACATCATTGACACTTGTCCAATTTTACCACCTCTACCATTGTAATAATCATCATTTTCCCGCGGTAACATTGATTTCAACGACGGTAAAACCTCATTTTCATCTTCTATGTGGGACCCATTTCCATTAATACCATCATCACCATCATTATTATTACCCCAAGATGGTGAATACACGAATTCATCAACATCTACATACATAGTCCAAGTGCATAACCCTTTGGATTTTGAGTAAAGAATACTATGTGAGAATCCAGCTTCTTGAGTCTTTGGCCAAATCCAAAGCAAAGTGCTTATGTTATAGCCTTCATCACGAAGCTCTTTGATTGTTCCATGTAAATCATCATCGCTTCCATTATCATACAATAAAAAATTTTCTACTCCTATTTTTGAATGATACATAACCCATTCTCTCAAAAATTTCGCTACGTTATAAACCATGGTGCATGCACATAGGAAATATTTCGGCTGGGTTTCTAATTGGGCCTGTAAATGGGCCTCGGACCTAAACATTTGCAAGCGGAAATCGTTTTGATTGGGCTTAATTTTGGGCCTTGGTTTGGGCCTGGGTAAGTAATACGCTACGGAAGGAACCACTATTTTTTTCCCAATAATCTCTAAGGAAACTCCGATTCTCGAATTTGAACCTAAACTAGCCGGATCTGGATGGTGGCATCGGAAAACCTCTTGAACGGAGCTTGTAACGGCGGTGCGAATTCCGTTTCCGATTTGGAAAACACAGTTGAATTCCTTTGGAGGAAGATCGTAACCTTGACGATGAGTCACACCTTTGGCGAACAAAACTACGTCGTCTTCCGTGGAAAACGACTCGTAGACGAGAAAATTCCACCTGAGAAGCTCCGGTGTTGGATGTTGATCATGAGATTCATTGTCTGATTGTCCAGTCACCAACATAGGCTGTGGATATATTCTCCGACGGCGAGCTGACTCCGGCATGAAGCACTTGAACGTTGTACGGTTGGTGAAAGGTAAGACACCGGAGAATCTGGCCGGAGACATGTGAGTGTTCTGGAAAAGACAGTTAAATTGTTCGGAAGAAGAAGATAAGCGCGTGTTGGGCGAAACGAGAAGAAGAATCTCCCAGTCAGGTAACAAAATGGAAACCGATGAGAAAGATTGTTTGAAGTTGATGGAAGAAACGCGGCGTGATTGATGCTGAAACTCGTTATTAACGATACTATGGGAAACGTGATTTTTTGCGTTGAGCTTCCTTGGGAGATCGTCGAGGTCGAAATCGGGTTGCCAGTGGGAAACGGCATGACGAGAGAGAAGAAGAGAATAAGCTGCGAACACGAGAATGGCTAGTAGAAAGATGAAGAGCGTTGTTCGTGGCTTTCTTCTCATGGTTTCCAAAGTTATTCTTGTTGTTGAATTGTTAAGGAAAAAAAATATGGTGAAAATAGAATTGGAGTTGTAATAATAGGAGGATGGGTGTGTTGTATTATCTAATGGTGAAGAAGGTTTCATTTTTGGTGTGAGGTTAATTTAGGATTTGTGGTGCGTCTTGATCATAAATAGGAGAAATTTGGAATATGAGATATAAATGAATGTTTAATGTGAGTGGTGGCTTCACATATTGAAAGAGATGTCAATGTGTAACACAACCTTTCTGATTCTATGAGTAAAGCTATAACCAATAGCGAGGGTGCAACCGTTACGTGCTTGCACCATCTTACTTTATTCTTCAATAAAGTTATGCTACTTCTAGATATTTTATAATTAATGGAAATAAACTTTTCCATTAATTAAATCTATTGGTAATTGAAATACTTTGAATTCAATTTTTCGATAAATAATATGTTAGATTTAATATCTTAAAATAATTCCTATTAATAAGTTTATTTAAAATACTTTTCATAATAGAATTTATTTAATTACTTTAAATGAAAGTAAAAGTTTTTATATATAATATTACTTACAAAGTTTCTATTATATATTCAAAATAATTTCAAGCTAATTGATTATTGTAAATGGAATTAAGTAAAATATTTGATAAAATATTTTAAATTTATTTAATTATATTTTAGGTAAAAAAACCATATGTAATAAATTGTGAAATAGATACACATATAATAAAATGTATTTAAACTTTTTATAGAAGATAAATAAGAGGTATTTTGCAAAAGTCATTATTTATAATTTAATAAGAAAAATAGATTTGAATAGATATATATAGGGTGTGTAAAAATATGCTTATCTAAATTGTATTATTAAATAAAAAACTTGAACTACTTAAATAGTTAATGACTTTGTAGAATTAAAATTTAAAATTTTTTATAAATAAAAAATTTAAAAATTGAACTACTTTAATTATATAACTAAATTTTTTAATTTTTATTTTGTAGAATTTTTTTTTAAAATAAAGTTATTCTGTAAATTTTTTTCGAAAAAAAGTTTCCCAAAATTTTAAAAAAATTTATTCTGAAACCTTTTTTTGAAATAAAATATTTATTCTAAAATCTTTATTTCCAAAAAATAATTTAAAAAGAAAAACTTCTGAGTTTTTTTTTTTAAAATAAAATTTAAAATTTATTCTGAACTTTTTTTGGAATTTTTTTTGAAAAAAAAAGTTTAAAACTTATTCTGAAATTTCTTTTTTTGAATTTTTTTTCCAAAAAATAAAATAAATTTTTTTCTCCAAATTTGAAATTTTTTTATTCTGAAACTTCTTTTTTGAAAAAAAAATCATTTTATTATTCTTAAACTTTTGTTTTTCAGAAAATTTTTTATTGTGAATTTTTTTTTTCGAAAAACAAAAGCAAAATTTCTGAAAATTTTATAAAAAATTCACATAATTTATTATTTTTCTAATTTTTTTCAGAAAAATAAAAAATTCAAGTTTTTTTGAAAATTAAAAAAATTATTATTTTTTGGAATAAATTTTTTCAAACATTTTTTAAAATTAACATTTTTATCTAATTAAAAAAATTGATTTAAAAAATTTTAAATTATAAAATTGATTTATAATTGCAAACTGATTATAAATTAATTTATAAATATAAACTGATTTCTAATTAATTTTAAATTAAATTGAAACCATTTTAATAATTAAATATATTTTTATTAAAATGATTAATATAAACTGAATTGAACTATAAATATGATTTGGTTCAATGCAATTTAAGAACCACGAAAATTCTTTAATATAGGAGTTTAATTGAGATTATTAATTTGAAAAGTTAGAGATTATAATTAAAATGGGTCATATTAATTTCTAGTGTCTCAAAAATACAGTTTAATTATTTTAAATAAATAAAAAATATTTTTTTAAAAAAAGTTGGTGATTTTAATTTTTAATGCATTAATTATACATATTTAAAAAAAACTTATTTTTTTAAGTCTTTAAAAAATATATTGAAACATTCGGTTACATTTTTCTATAAATTACAATTTAAAGTAAATAAAATAAAAACATCATTTCATTTCACTGAATAGTTTTTCTACTAATTTTGATATCAACACATTCTTTTAAATCCAAAAATGATGAATTTTTGAAAAAGAAATATTAACTTTTGACCCAAAAACTATAAGTTTTTGTTTTTTCTATTAGTTTTAAATTTGGTCAAAATTCACTAGAACCAAAATCATAACGACAAGGAAAACTGTCTGACCAACAACAGATTTTGAAATAAAGTAATTAAAATATTTTTTTAAATAAATTAAAAAATTAAAATCATATTAAATTCGGACGGTTATGATATGTTCTTTTAAAAGATGTGTCAGTATCAATATTGATATCTATAATTATATTTATTTATTATTTTTAAATTATTATCGATATTTCAATATTGTGTTTTTGATATCCATGAGTCATAAAATTACTTGCACCTTATACATTTATTTATAATATTTTATATTATTATATAAAAATTAATTTTTATTAATATTTTAAAAAATATTACTATTAAAAAATTATATGTTTTGATATATATATATATATATATATATATATATATATATATATATATATATATATATTTGTTTATTCATTATTCAATGATAAAATCTTTAAATTTTAAATATTGTTAACGATTAAAAATAATATGATATTTTATAATTATTTAATTTATTTTTAATAAAAATGTGGATAGCATGAATATGAATACTTAAATACTCATAAGGTACATATACAAGTACAAATATTATTTGTATTAGTTTTGAAAAATCAATCTAAAACAAATGGTTTTCGCATGACATCAAAACACATCAAATAATATTTGGGTTTTCACGATTTTTAATATTTTTTTGCATCGATTTATAGTTTTTATTTTGATCGGTTTGGATTTGAACACCTTTATTAATGGTAGCTACACATCTCGTAAATGGGACAAAGAGGACTAAATGAAGGACGAGCAAAGTCAAACATGTGGAAGCGAGTTTACCATGCTCTCCTACATGTTCATGTATGACTTATAAACCAATTTCTAACAACCAATAGAACTACTCTTAGGGAAATAAAATAGTTCCAAGTTTTGTTGACTAACTAAACTCATATCTCATATACTGAAGGGATAAGTCACCAACCACACTCCCTGATAGTTCAAGTCATGCTCTACATGGCCAAGTTTATAGGTAAAAAGATCAACATCCCTCAAGGAAAGACTAGGGCTATATATGTATCTCCAAAGAGTTAGGTCATTTATCACTTATTCACATATAAAAAACCTAAAGGCTATTATTTGAATAACCACAAGCATGATCACCTATATTGTACTCACCACAAGTATAGCTAGCGTCCACTACATGGTCTAGTAAAACTGACTTGAACCACAACCTTTCTTTAAAATCTTTGATTACCTCCACCATCATTCTCAATGGTGGACGCATGAACTATGTCCAATTTTAGCAATGCTGAGGTCATAGTGGGTATGCAGACCATTATGGAGTAGTTATAGTGCCAAAATCAACCATGTAAGTTAGCGCTTAAAACATCCAACAATAGTACCAAGTTCCCTAACCCCACTATGTCGAGATCTGGGACACCTCAGTTCCAAATAACTTTAAGCCACCCCCATTAGTATGGTTTGACAGAGATAGTTACCCGTATAAGCACATTACCACCATCGATACACAAATGGTAATAATAAACACAATAAACTCTCTCAAGTGTAATCTTTTTTTTTTGGAACACTAAAGGAGGTGACTCTACGCTGGTACATAAACCTACCCAGGTTCTCCGTGACCAGCTTCCAAGACCTTTCCAGGAAGTTGATCCACCAATTTTTCAGCAAGAAAAAACCAAAATGTATCAACTATAAGCCTGCTCATATCTGGACCGAGGAAGACGTGAAATTAGTTCAATAACCTATGTGCTTCTAGATTTGGGTCGCGGTTATCCCAAACCAAACCTATCCCCACAAGATAAAAAAAAAATTAAACCTGAAAGGAAAGAAATTAGTGGTAAGGGTGACGTAAGGTAATGGATCTCATGAATATGTCATAAAAAAAGGTTCTAGGGCCTAAAAACATGTGTAAACCTGCCCTAGAAAACATTAGCTTCGAGCATAACAGACAAGATTAGTCTGTTAGATAACAAAATAAGTAACATCTATCCATCTAGAAATATGAGTGGTTTATATGGAAACTATGAAGTGAATGTGAGTAAAAACGCTAATAGTATTCCTATAAGAGGGAGTGACAAACGTCATATCAAGTACACACTCAAAAAATATCAAAACATTCATTCTCTTGCCTTAATCAACTACTGACTTGAGTTTTGGATTATTTTATATGAGTATTATTCCATTTTTTCTTATCTGGCGCCTAACCAAACCGATAAAAAACTGAATGGTAAAAAAAGATCATTTGGCACATTTATCTTATCTAACTTCCAACTTACTATTGGGATATTTTGGTATATATAAACCATTGTTACCCTCTTTAGGAAACATTATATACGACATTCCATTTTTCATTCAAAATAATATGATGTGTTTCAACTGTAGGAAAGACACATACATGCAAAAAAATGGGGGTTTCCCGAGAACTCCCTTATTCGTTAGGAATTTGACCGATGAGAATACTTTTCCATCATAGGAGAAAACAATGAGCTATCCTTCTTCGTCATGAAGGATCCACCGATATCCAAATCAAGTGACCTTTTTCCATGTCACATCATGGATAACTTTCATATACATAGCGATAATTGTTGCATCCTCTCATAAGACAGTGCACCAATAAAAGATTCATCGATCAATAAGATACCCCCACTCTCTTTTTATGACAAAGAGTTACTTTACGGGACCCCCAATCATCAAGTACCATTAATCACTAGGGTAAAAATGCCTAGATGAGATGTTTAACACATGTTGGTAGGCCAAAGAATCTCATGTGATATCATGTATGTTGCGGTGAAATTTGGATGTCAAGCTATTGATTAACTTGAATCTTAATTCATTTACAACCGGTCTTTGATTTATCCGAAGGAAAGGTTAAAGAAAGGAAAAACCTAAAAGGGAGAGATCTAA